TCGTCGTCCTTGAAGCCGAGCACGGACGCGTCGCCGGACGCGAGCGAGGCCACGGACGCGTCGTCGTCGTCGCCGCCGCCGCGGACGGACGCGTCGTCGTCGTCCTTGTCGCCGCGGACGGACGCGTCGCCGGACGCGAGCGACGCCGCGTCGTCGTCGTCGTCGTCCACGGAGCCCTCGTCGTCGTAGTCCTCGTCCTCGGCGTCCTCCGCGTCCTCGAGCTTCTTCCGCTGGATGGCCGCGAAGTCGAGGCCCGAGACGCTCGCGTCGCCCGAGCAGATCGAGTCGTCGTCGTCGGAGTCCTCGTCGTCGTCCGAGCCGTCGCGCGTGCCGTCGAAGTCGTCGTCCTCCGCGTCCTCCGCGTCCTCGAGGCGGCGCTGCTCTTCCTCCGCGGCGAGGCGCTCGGCCTCGGCGGCCTCCTCCGCGGCGACGCGCTCGGCCTCGGCGGCCTCCTCCGCGGCGACGCGCTCGGCCTCCTCCTGCTCCTCGCGGTAGCGGATGGCCTCGCGGATCGCGACCATGGCCTCCTTGAGCAACTTCTTCTTGAGATTCTCGTCGTCGAGCTTGGCCTTGAGGTCAACGGCGTCCTGGGCGAGCTGGTGGGGCTCGGGGGACACGGTCTTGGCCTTGGCGGCGGTTTTGCCGGCGGTTTTGACTTGTTTCGAGGATTTGACCTTGGTGCTTTTGGAGTTCGCCATGTCGATGATAGGGTGGAACGTATCGATGGGAGGGTGTTGAGAGAGTTTTGACGGACTATCTGTGGCGAAGGTTCGATGCAGACGACGTGCTTTTTTAACTTGGGCGCGCGTTCTCTGAGAGCTTGGAGCGCTCTCCAAACCCAATCTTTCCAGGCTGCCGTGTGGCGGGGGTCGAGAGGCGGCTCGATAGACCGTCGAATTCGTAGGTATGCGTCGCCGTCCACAATCATGCACGCTCGTCTTTTCAGTCCCCAATCTCGCAGGCACCGGCGAGAAGCTGCGAACGCTACCGCGAACGCCGTCGCCGCGATGTCCGCTGCTGCGCGACCCCGAAACGCGGAAACTCGCGCGTCGTAGTAAGCTTCTATGTACACGCGCCGCGCCCTAGAGGGAGAAGCTCTGCTTGAGGCTGAACTTGGGCTTCGACGACAGGTCCACGGGCAGCGACACCGAGGGCACGAGCGTCCCCGCGAAGGGGATCTTCGCGAGGACCGTGAGCGTCTTGTCGAGGAGGGCGGCCGTCGCGGCGACGCCGTGGGGGAGGCCCTTCTTCTCGACCTCCCACTTCGTCGACGCGCCGTC